TTTTTTTTTTTTTTTTTTTTTTTCCTTTTTTTGTCTTTTTTCATGACCGGCAACGGATCGCAACCCTCAGTGTCGCGCCTGTACCGGACCGGGATCGCAACCCTCGGCGCTGCCCCCGCACCTCGCTCAGCCAGTGAGCGGGAACCGGTCTGTATGTGGGATCCGAACCCTCGGCGGGAGCGCTGCCCTGCTTCCCAAGCGGCGCACTGTAGCAGCGCGCCACTGGGCCGGCCCTACAGCTCAGGTTTTAATGGTTGACCTTGTATGTATTTCTGGGAGCAGCAATTCCCTATTTATTTTAATTGACAAATAAAAATTATATATATTTATTGTGTACAACATGATGTTTTGAAATAGGTATACAATGTGGATTAGCTAAATCAGCAATTCCCTTTTTATAAGTAACAACTTTATTGAGATATAATTTATTGAGATATAATTCACATATCATAAGGAGTACAGTATCCCAAGTTTTTAGTATATTCACAAAGTTGTGCATTGATCACAACTATCTAATTCCAGAACATTTTTATCACTCCCCAAAAGAAACCCTGTACTGATTACCAGTCACTCCTCATTTCTCCCTTACTTCAGGCTGTGGAAACTGCTAATAACATTTTCTATCTCTGTGAATTTACCTATTTTGGACATTTCTTATAAATGGCATTATAGAATATTTAGCCTTTTGTGATCAGCTTATTTCACTTAGCGTAATGTTTTCGAAGTTTATCCATGTTGTAACATACATCAGAACATCATTCCTTTTTATGGACAAGTTTTCATTGTATGGATTTACCACATTTTGTTTATACATTCATTAGTAGATGAACATTTTGGTTGTTTACCCTTTTTAGTTGTTTACCCTTTTTGGTTGTTATGGATAATGCTGCTATGAACATTAATGTACAAGTTTTTGTGTGGACATGTTTTCATCTCTCTTGGAAATGGAATTACTGGGTCATATAGGAACTCTGTGTTTCACTTTTTCAGGAATCAAACTGTTTTCCAGAGTGGCTGCATCATTCACATTCTCATCAGCAATGTATAAGGATTCCAGTTTCTCCATATTCTTGTCAGCATTTGTTATTATCTGAGCAATTCTCTTTGACTAGATGTGTTGTAATGCTTTATCATTTGGTCATCTGCAAGTCAGGATAATGCCACCTGTGTGTATGTAGTCTCAATGATTTTCCTGTGGTAGCTCAAAAAGATGAGAAAATGAAAATGTAAAACTAATCAGAAGCTGGGTTATGCAGGACTTATGCAGATTGATTTGCTGAAATATTTATCTTATCACATTAGTGTATCTGAAAATTAAGATAATGTCGTAAGAAAAATAATGAAATTATGAATTTTAAAACATTCTTAACTTTTAGGAATCCTGGACATTTTACCTTTTGACCCCACCTGTAGATATGACTACTTTAAGAATTATTTTCTTCCTCTATCATACTCATTTGTCACCTGTTGTTACTCCCCCAAAACACTGTTTTAATTTTTCATTAAAATTATTTATTCTGAAATATTGATTAAACTTACCTTTTGCTGCATTTTTCAAACTACTTTCAGATTGAAGTATTAACTGAGAAGAGAAATTTGAAAAGTAGTCTGTAGTCAAAATCATTGCATTTCAGATTTTATAGTGCATATTTTTCACCTGGGATCTTGTTAAAATGCAAATTGTTATTCAGCATTTCTGAGATGGAGATTATGCATTTCTAACAAACTCCCAGGTGATGCCATAGTTGCTGGCCTTTGGATTACACCTGGAGAAGCAAAGATAAAGGTAGTAGATGGGGAAAAGTTAATGAACACTTAGTGATGGGCATTGTGCTAAATACCTTTTCTTTACAATAACTCTGTAAGGTAGATATTTCATTTTACTAATTAATTAATTTAGGCTCAAAGATGTTAAAGCCTAAGGTCACACAGCAAATAAGTGGGAATGGGGATTATAACCAAGGTCTGCCTGAATCTGGGAGTCATGCTCATGTCGCTGATCTTCCTTTGACATGTTAGAAATGGTATATTTAGAAAATGGTCAGTAAGGAAGGAGAATACTTTGTAGAATTGTAGTTTTAAAAGAAATTATTTGCAGTTTTCAGAATTAGAAGATAGCAGTGCCACTTACCCTTGTGAAATTTATTTAAAGGAAAAAAAGTGTACCAAATGTTTAATCAAATAATCAACTATTATTAGTTTTGGATATATCTGAATTTAAAATCTGAGTGTAACAAAAGTTTCAGTGTTGATTTTATGAGACTGATTTAAAGACCTATTTGAATTAGATAAAAATATTTGAAAATGAGAGAATGAAATATTTTAAATGAATTTTTTGTGTGTGTTGATTCAATGCAGAGTACTTCTCAGAAAGCCACCTCTACTGTGTTGCCTCTAAAATACTTAAAATATTGTTTTTGTAGAATCAGCGAGCCTCAGTGAACATGATGGTTGGTGACTTGAGTTTGATGTCACCTGAATTGAAAATGAGAAAACCTGCTTCTCCAAGTTCAGACTTATATGCTTATGGCTGCCTTCTATTGTGGGTATGTTATTTTTTATTGAAACAGATGTCATTTGCATATATATTTCAGTGCGTAAGGTTTTATAGTGATTCTCTTTAACATATTACTCTGGATAAAGAGCAGTGGTAAACTTTTAGTAGAAAATTGTTTCTTTTTTAAGTTTTATTGTGAACTGTTGATATAATTCCTATCACCTACTGTATACTTTCTATAAATTGGCTTTATGTGTATTTTAAGTATCATGCTGTTGTCTTAGTTTTGTTAAAGTCAAGATTAACAGTGAAGATGATTTTGTCCTATATTAATCTGAAAACAATTCATACATACATGGAAAATAAACGTTAAATAAGCCTTTGGTAAATGTTCCTGCTTTTAGTGTAAACCAAATACTATAGTTATTTCTTATCCATGGTTTAAGAATTATGTGGGATTAAGTATCAACAAGGGAGGATGTCTGTCCTCACTTCTTATGATCAACATTTTACTGTGGTTCTATCCCAGGGGTCAGCATACATTTTCTGTAAAGGGTCAGGTGGTAAATATTTCAGACTTAGTGGGCCATAGGGTCTCAGCTGTAAGTACTCAGTTATGCAATTCTGCTGCCGTAGCACAAAAGTAGTCATAGTATGTAAACAAATTAACATGGCTGTGTTCCAATAATATTTTATTTATGGATGTCGAAATGTGAATTTTATATAATTTTCATGTGTCATTAAATAGTATTCCTTTCATTTTTCTTTTAAACATTTAAAAATGTGAAAGCCATTCTTGGCTATACAGCAACAAGCAGTGGGATTGATTTGTTATAGAGGCCATAGTTTGCTGATCCTTGTTGTAGCCAGTATGATAAGGCAACAAAAAGATATAAAAATCATACAGTTTGAAAATGAAGAAATAAAACTATCTTTATTTGCAGATGACATAATTAATTATGTAGAAAATCTTTAACAAGGTGGTAGTTTTAATTTCTGTGTAATTGTGTTTTGATAAACCAACAACTAATAAATATATAGATTCAATGCAACTTCAACAAAAATACTAGTAGGATTCTTTTTTCTTTTAAGAAATTGACAATTAGGTTCTGTATTTTATATAAAAATGAAGAGGATCTGGAATAGCCAAACAATTTTGAAAAAGAGCAAAACTGGAGGACTTACACTTCCTAATTTCAGTACTTAATAAAATTATAGTAAATTAAGACTGTGATGGTGTGAAGTTAGACATACAGATGAATGGAACAGAAGAGACAGTAGAAGTAGACCTCCACACTATGGTCAGCTGGTTTTTGACAAAGGTGCCAAGGCAATTCTTCGAGTGAAAAGAGAGTCTTCAACAAAAATGGTACAGGAACAACTGGATATCCGTATGCAAAGAATAAATTTTGATTCATTCATTGCACCGTGTACAAAAATTAACTCAAAATGTATATTAGACCTAAATGTAAAACCTCAGTCCCTAAAACTTCTAGAAGAAAACATAGGAAAAGATCTTATTGGCTTTTAATTTGGCAAAGATTTCTTAAGACACAAAAAGAATCAACTTTAAAAGAAAAAAAAATCAATAATTAGAGTTCCATCAAAGTTCAAAACTGCTTTTCAAAAGACGTCATGTAAATGAAAGGCAAGCTGTGGACTGGGAAAAAATATTTGCAAAACATCTATCTGAGAAAAAACTTGTATCCAAATTATTAAGAACTCTTATAACTCCACAGTTAAGAAATGGTCAAAATCTTTAATGGTTAAGAGGTGTTGCAACTTATATATTGATGAGGGGAATGTAAATGGAAGAACCACTATGGAAAACAATTGGCAGTTTGTTAAAGGTTAAACATACACTCGTCTATGACCTAGCCATTTCACTTCTAGTTAGTTAGCCAAGAGAAATGAAAACATATGTTCACATAAAGACTTGTATAGAAATATTCAAAGATTTTTTTTATAATAGGTCAAAAGTGGAAAACTCAAAGTCCATCAACAGATGAATAAACAGTCTGCCATATATCTGTCCATTAGAATATTACTCAAAAAAAAAAGGTGGGGCTATGAATACACTCAATAAAATGGATGAATCTTAAAATTGTTCTGCCACGGGAAAAAAACCAGAGGAAAGAAAGAGTATCTACTTTATGGTTCTATTTATATGAAATTTATATAAAATCCATTGATGAGCATTTAGGTTGATTCCATCTCTTGGCTGTTGTGAACAGTGCTACAATGAACATGGGAGTGCAGGCGTCTCTTTGGTATATTGATTTCATTTTTACATCCTTTGGGTATATACCCAGTAGTGTGATTGCTGGGTAATAGGATAGTACTATTTTTAGTTTTTTGAGGAAACTCCATCCTGATTTCCACAACGGCTGTGTTAATTTACATTCCTACCAACAATGTAGGAGAGTTACCTATTCTCTAAATCCTCACCAGCATTTGCTATATTCTGTCATTTTGATAATAACCATTCTAACTGGATGTGTGTCATCATGATGATATGATATGTGATTGAGATGATATGTCATTGTGGTTTTAATTTTCATTTCCCTGATGATGAGTGATGTTGAGCATTTTTCATGTGCCTGTTGGTCTTTTTATGTTGTCTTGTGAGAAATGTCTGTACAGGTCCTTTGCCCATTTTTTAGTTGGATTATTCGGTTATTTGCTATTGACTTATTTGAGTTCCTTATATATTCTGGATATTAGCCCCTTGTCAGATGTGTAGTTTTCAGGCACTTTCTCCCATTCTGTAGGTTGTCTCTTCATTTTATTGATTATGTCCTTTACCATGCAGAAGCTTTTTAGTTTCTAAGGGGCAGTCCCATTTGTCTATGTTTGCTTTAGTTGTCTATGCCTTTGTAGTCTCAGTCACCACAAAGAAAAGATAAATGTTTAGGTGATGGATATGCTATCCACCCTAAGTGAATCATTGTACAGTATATGCAGGTATTGAAACAACACACTGTGCCCCATAAATGTGTACAATTAAAAATAAAGAAATATATATATTATTTTTAAATTAACACGAAGTACATTTGACTGTTTTGGTATACAGTTCTATGAATTTTAACACATGTATAGGTTAGTATAATAACTACCACTACTACAATCAGGATACAGACCAATTTCAAACCCAGTTGCTATGTGCTGTCCCTTCATAGTCATACCTTCCTCCCAATCCTTAATCCTTGGCAACTGCTGATTTTTTCTTTATCACTGAATTACTACTTTTTTTTTTTTTTTTGCTGTGACTGAGAGCATGGACTTTATTTTTTATTTTTAAAAATTTATTACTATTTTTTTACATTCTAAGATATTGTGGAGCAGTTGGAGGTGGGGGAGGAGGGGAAAGGAGAGGGGGATAGGGAGAGAGAAGGAGGAAGGGGAGCAATGAGGCCTGTGGCACCCCCCTCATCCTGGCAGGAGAGCCCAGGGGGCTTCCAGTGGTGGCTTGGTAATGGCTGGCCTGGATGCAGACTTCGAGGGGACGTGGCTGAGGGCTTTGGCCCCCTATTGCCTTGGCTCGGGAGCCCGGGCACTTCTGATGGCAGCCTGGTGGTTGTCACTGGACTATCACTATATTTCATCCTTAGAATTTCATATAAGTGGTATAATGCAGTATGTAACTTTTGAGACTGGCTGATTTCACTTAGCATAATAATGCCTTTGAGATTTATCTGAGTTGTCGAATGTGTAATTTTTTATTATTTTTGTTGCTGAGTAATATTGTATTGTATGGATGTATTAAGTTTGTTTTTTGTTTGTTCACCTGTTGAATGATGTTTGGGTTGTTTCCAGTTTTTGGTTATTACAAGCAAAGCTGCTGTGAACATTTTTCTGTAGGTTTTTGTGTGAATATGTTTTTATTTCTCTAGGGTAAATATCTAGGAGTGAGGTCTCTGGGTCAGATTGTGATTGTATAAATAACTTCATAAGGAGCTACCAAACTGTTTTCCAGAGTGGCTGTACCATTTTTCATTCTCATTAGCAATATATGAGAGTTACAGTTGTTCTGCATCGTTTTCAGCATCTGGTATTATTGTTATGTTTGATTTTAGCCATTATCATAGTTGTGTCTCGTTGTGGTTTTAATTTTAGTTTCTCTAATGGATAATGATGTTGAGCATCTTTTAATTGCTATAATCTTATTTGGTGAAGTATCTGTTAGAGTCCTTTGCCCATTTTTTAATTGGATTACTTGTTTTCTTACTGAATTGAAATATTTAAAAATACACATATTTTAGATAAAAGTCCTTTATTAGATGTTATTTGATTTTTCCCAGTCTGTAGCGTACGTATCTTTGCATTCTCTTAACAGTGTCTTTTGCAGAGAAAAAGGTCTTAATTTTGATGATGTTCAATTTAATGTTGTTTTTCTTTTATGTATCATACTTTTGGTATTGTATCTAAGAACTCTTTACATGACCCCAAGCCATGAAGATTTTTGCTTATATATTCTTTTAAAAGCTGTGTAGTTACATGCTTTACATTTAGAGCTTGGATCTATTTTGATGTAATTTTTGTGTAAGGTGGGAAGTTTATGTCAAGGTTTTTCTTTTTTGCATATGGATACCCAGTTGTTCCAGCATCATGTGTTTAAAAAGACCGTTATAGTATTCTCTATTGAATTATCTTTGCACCTTTGTCAAAAATCAGCTGGCCATTTTTGTGTGTCTATTTCTGAACTCTTTATTCTGTTGCATTGGTTTATGTATCTGTTTACCAATACCATCTTGTCTGGATTACTGTGTCTTTATATTAAGTCTTAAAATTGAGTAGTATGATTTTTTTTTTCATATTTTTAGCTAGTTGGCTATCTTTGCCTTTCCATGTACATTTTTAAAACAGTTCGTCCATGTGTACAAAAAACCCTGCTTGATTTTGATTGGAATTGCATAAATCTGTAGATCAATTTGGGGAAAGTTAACATCTTGGAGTACTGACATCTTTACTGTGTTGAGTCTTAATCCATAAACTCCATTTGTTTAAGTCATCTTTGATTTCTTTCATCAGCATTTCGTTATTTTGAAC